GGACTTATCAAAATTACTCTCTTCAATCGACAATCAACATTCTCATGATACAGATATATCCAGTCAATTCCCAAAATAATCTCAAACTTATCAAAAGTAATTCCATCAGATTAGCAGGGAATTTAATTACCTAAATCTTTATGGGACACCCTTAACACAACTAATTTACCCGAGTACTATGCCTCAATGACTTAGACACTATCACGTCATTGCTTATAGCTTCTAATGGAATTTTCAATTCTTTCACCAAGTTACTACATATATAAGAATAGGTTGATCATGGGTCAATCAAAACCAAAATAGGTTTATCACATAACTGAAAAGTACATGCAATGATCTCTGGATCATCGCGATCTTCAAAAGTCCTGAGGTTGTAGACCCTAGCAGTTGAACAGATTTCAGGTTCAGTAGTCAACTCATAGTGATTTCTGCCTCTGCCTCATCCTCTGCCTTTTTGAGGTACAACATTAGATCTCTTAGATGGTGCAATTTCTCTAGTCATTAATGGGCAATCCCGAATAAAATATTCAGTGTCCCCACACTAAAAACATGCTCCAGAAGTCACTCTACAAATACCACTATGTTGTTTGTCACAATGATGACATTGACTTACTTTTCCTGCTTCGAATTAATGGATTCTGTCTAGCTCTTCCCAAATTTGATCCTCTACCTGAGGGTGTAGCTGATTCAAATCTTGATTGGGGTCGAAAACTCGAACCTTGACTTTTCTTTGATTGTGATGCACTTGACGAGGCACCAACTCTATTATTCCAATGGGTCCTTTATTCCCTGAATCTTTCATTCTGAGCTCGCTCTAAAGCTTTAGCTCTAATCACCACTTTTGTTGAAACCAACTCTGATTCAAATCTAAGGCGTAACCATTCCACAAACCAGTCACAAGAATCATTTTTTGTTGAAACCAACTCCGATTCAAATCTACTTAGCTTATTAAATTCACACTCGTACTCATACAGTGTACGATTCTCTTGTTTCAAGCTCATGGACTCTTGTTTCATCTGGCGAATAAATTGATCCCCAATATACTTATTCTTAAACTTTTCCAGGAAAAGCAACCATGTCAAATGATCTTTTATAGCTCTCATCGATACATTAGTCCATAAAATATGAGCTTGTCCTCATAGCAACGATACAACTCCATCTAACTTCTCTACTTCAGAATAGTGGAGACCCTCCATCATGATCTTTACATCATTCAGCCAGAGGTCTGCAGCCATAGGACCTTCCTCAACACCTTTGAACTCCGATGCTCCTAACCCTTTCAATTCTTTGGCTACGTTCATCTTAGGAGTTGAAGAAGCAGAAGGTTGGAAACGCGTCATGATAGCGTCTAACATTCTGAAAAACACTCCATGATCTTGCACATGCACCCCTTGAGACACATGTTCTTCACCTTGCCCAACTGGGGCAGGCAAATTACTACTTCTTTTATGACCTTATCCCGCTTCACTTCGGGAGCCCTCGAAATCCGACATCTATTAAGAGGGAATTTCTATTCTATCAATAAGGACAACATACTTATTACCTTATCAGATCAGAAAAAAAAGTTAACTTCTAGTTGGCATGTACACTTGTTTAAAAAAACTATTTCATTTCGAACGTAAATCAATTAAACCATAACTCTGATACCAATAAATGTAACACCCCAACCCGTATTCGACCCGAATACAAATTTGAGGCAACACATTGACTTTTTAAATCTTTGACCTTTAACAAATAACTGACAATAAAATTTTTATTTTATATAGTAGTACATTTTGATAAAAGATAAAGAGTACAACTTTCCCATTCACTGAAAATATATAATTCATCATTTATATAAATACCATAAAATTTACATTTACAAAAACTGATTAGAGCATTTCCATTTAAACTAGGTATACATACCAAAAAAATGTACAAAACTTATAAACCGTACTATTTCAAATGGTTCTGATATGATCTTCACTGCTTATGATGTCCTCTCTTAATCTTCACTCTTCTGATCTCTTTGAACCTACATGTTAAACAATCCACACACTAAGTCTTTGACTTAGTGAGGCAATAAGTAGTATATAGTAAGACATTTCAAAAAAAATTTCATTGATCCTTATAAAGCTTTTCATACTTGAATTAAATCTGGTTTCTAAACTTACAATAAATCACTCTTTATTCAACATACATCTTTAATCTTTTAGCCCAATGTATACCACTGAGAATTCAGGATATCTGAGTACACTGAGGTTGTGCACAATTGCTGTCACCACAGCTCATATAATTTGCACCGAAGTGCCATGTAGAATTTGTCCTGAAGGATTGCGTAGAATTTGTCCCGAAGGACCACATAGAAATATCCCAAAAGATCACATAGATTGTCCCGAAGGACCGCGTAGAACCCTCGACTCTTGACATGCCAACTATACCCCTAATTCTCACATATATACCTTGGGCTTTAGCTTATAATTAATTTAAGTTTCACCATTTAAAGTGTATCTTATTTACATTTAGAACATTCTCGTAGATCACTTATACGTAGGTATTTCGTATTCACATGTCATATGATCATATTCCAACACAATTAATAATAAAACTTACTTTAAAATATACTTGAATGAAACATCATAAAATATTGCATAAAAATAATTGAAAATAGTTTTCGATCGAAAACTTTGATGTCGTCTTATCGCAAGCCGTTCTCAAATCCAATATAAAACAATCCGGTTACACTCATCTTTGCATCACTGAAGTCCTTTACACTTTTGTTCGAAACTTATAATGCTGAGTTGACCGAAAGTTGATTTGCTCAACATCTACACAAAACAATCGAAAATAAATATCGGAATTCGAACCACTTATCTTCAATCATAATAACTTATTATGTAGAAAACACTTAATTTCTCATTTTATGCTTAGTAGTATCGGTACTCCCCTATAGTACCGATACTTCCCTTTGATTTTATCGATACCCCCTTTCGGTACCGATACCATTTTGACATACTGGAATTTCAACTTAAAAATGGTATCAATACCTTACTCTTGGTATCGATACTCCCCTTTTAGTATCGGTACCCCAACCATCAGTACCGATACTGATCCTTGATGTTTAATTGATTTAGCCTTGAAGTATCGATAATGTTCTTATAGTACTGATACCCTTGTCCAGATTTCAACTCGTTTATTCCAAATTTTAACCTATAATCACCTATTTTCCTTTCTCTAAGCTCTAACAAACTTCTCACACTCATTACTACTCCTACTAGATGATTTATATCCACTTCTCCTCTTATAACATCTATTTCCCCAATAATATGCTTAAAAGTAAGAATCATATCATTTAATCAAACATGTTACAAGTTATTTCTAACACTTTAAATCTCTTAGCTAGAACTTTGACAAGCCATTCTATCTTTATAATCCATTTATCAACCCATTTACAAATTTTCACTTCAAAACCCATCTTATTCTTTCCCTAATAACTCCTTATTAACTTAATTTTTCTTCATTTCCAAGCTTCCTTAATCTTGTCTACCTCTTAAAGCTTTAATACAAACCCATAAATTAAGAAAATCAACAACTTATAAGAACTCACCTTAACCCAGGAAGCCACGAACCAAAGAAGAAGAAGAAGAGAAAATAGCCAAGTCCCCAAATAGTTCTTATTTTCTCCCTTATCCACTTAAAATATACTAATATAAAATGGATATGAAATCCATATTCTGAAAAAGACCTTCTTGCCTTTACTCTCTTCCTTCTTTGTAAATAGATCCTAATATAAAATTTCCAAACATTAGTCCTTGAACTTATCACTTAATTCAATTAAACTACTAAATTCTAGAGTTCTTACATTTTAATCTTTGACCCGAGGTTTAGGGTATTACAAATTTTTTAACAGAAAAGGATGAGATTGGATCAAATGAATAATCAGGTGACTATTTTGTAACTTTAATAGTCGAGGGACTAAACAAAGTAGTGCTCTATAATTAGGGTATCATTTTGTAACTTTTAATAGTCAAGAGACATAACAAAGCAATGCCCTCTATAATCGGATACTATATGTGTACTGTATACATCTAACAACTAATATGGTATGACTTGGCTTAATAAATCTAACAGCTAATATGGTTAAAATTTTGAAATATAAAACATACTGAGATTAAAGATAATTAATATAAAATATATAAATAAAACTTATAATTTATACATAATACAAAGACTAATATAATTTTTTGGGTAAAGTACACAAATGGTCTCCCAACTATATGATAATGCTCTGTTGAGTCCCCTTGACTATTAAAAGTTACAAAATGATCCCCCGACTATAGGGACTTGCTTTGTTGGGTCTCTTGACTATTAAAAGTTACAAAATGGTCACTCGACTATTATTATGTTCCAAACCCATCATTTTCCATTAAAAATTTGATAGTAGTATGAGTTGGACATTAACCTGCTGACTAAGATATGATAAAATTTGTTCTCATAATCTCAAACAACTATCATATCACATTCAACATGTTAACATCCAACTCATCCGATCGTTAATTTTTAACGGAAAATGATGTGTTTAGAATATAATAAATAGTCGAGTGACCATTTTGTAATTTTTAATATTCGAGGGGCTTAACAAAACAACTCCCTATAATCAGGGGACTATTTTGTAACTTTTAATAGTCAAGGGACTCAACAAAGTAATATCCTATAAACGAGGGACCATTTGTGTATTTTACCCTAATTTTTTTATTGATTTTTAAATTGCGAGAATTTTGGAAAGCGATATTTTGTGAGGATTGAAGCAAAAAACACTGCATAAAAGAAGGGGACAAGTAGAAGCAAACGATAATAATGTCCCAACATGAGTAAAATAGAAAAAAAATAAAACAAAGGTCTACACTGAATTTGATTGTTATCCCATTTATGTTTTATTTAAGGTAAGAAATTTTCAATTGCAAAAGTTTTACAAGTAAATCACATTGTGCCTCCGCTTGAATAGGTCCCTGCTTTTCTCAAATGGACACATCCATCCTCTTTGTTTTCCTTTCGTTATCACTGTTCTTCAGTGATTCTAATTTATGCTTTCAGGTTCATGCTTTCCAATCCAATGGTACGGCCAGGTTTAAGCTGATCCACAGGCACTCACCGGAGTTAGGGAATTTCCCCGGAACGACGCTCGGACCACCGAGCAACAGAAGGGAACGTTTAAGGCAGTTGATCCGGAGTGACAATGCTCGATTGCAGACGATTGCGCGGAGGCTGTTCCCGAGAAGGAAGAATGTGCAGGTGGAGATGTGGCAGAACAACAATTTGGTGGAGCTCCCGATTCGATCGGCTGCTGATATAGGGACCGGACAGTACTTCGTTTCATTCCGGATCGGAAGCCCGCCGAGGAAGTTCATTATGATAATCGATACGGGGAGCAGTCTTACATGGATGAAATGCAAGTACAAGTGCAAAGGGTGTTTCAAAGATAGGGTTAGCCATAATGAAAGGATACTTAATGCCAAAACGTCACGTACGTTTCGTCCGATTCCATGCTCCTCCCATATTTGCAAGCAGGACCTTGCTCGATCTTTCTCTTTGCAACATTGTCCTCGCCCCTCGGCTCCTTGTTCCTATGATTACAGGTACGTTTTGTTTTTCTGTAAGAAGCGCCGTATGCAGAAGTCGATCGATTTAGATCAAAATGAAAGAAAAAGAAAAAGAGAGGTCAAAATAAAAATATATATATATATATATGAATTTCATCCAAAAAGAATAAATATGTGCGGTGCATATTGAAGACGAACATGATTACAGGCCGTACGACGTCGACGAGCATTTATTTACTCATATTCGATCACTCAATAAATACATGTTTAAAAAGTATATATTTAAACACTTAAAAAACATCATATCGTCGATATCGACATAACTTGAGATTTGAAAAGCTCAGTGAAGTTTTAAAATTACAAATTATTTATATATGTGAATTTACAAATGTTTAAATATAATCTATTAAACATGTATTTATTGGTTGATTGAATATAAAGCTAATACAAGTATATTGCTATCATCTTATTCGACTCGTACTTGTGTAATTACGTGTCTTTAACATATACCATATGCGTTTTTCTTTTTGCAAAGGAGTTTTTGCTTACATGGTAAAAAAGATAGTTATTTGATCGATTTTGGATGTTAGAGTAGGAAATAATTTTTTAATTGGATATATTTGCGTAAAAACGTCATGTTGTATGGACATTTTCCCTTGGCATAATATTAAAATTTTCCCTTAATGTTTACTAAAATTGTCATTTTAACTCTTATTATTTTTTTGGAGCATTTTAGCCCCAACGTTTCACTTTGGTGCAAAAAACTCCATCTATAGATGAAAATCATTAGTTAACACATGCTTAATGCTCCAAAATAGGAGCCGTTTTGAACCTAAAATGAAACGATGAGGGCTACATTGTCTAAAAAAAGGAACAGTGATTTTTCTGTCACTCTAAAATGAAACATTGAGGGCTAATATGTTCCAAAAATAAAATAGGGAACAAAATTATCATTTTGACAAATGTTGAGGATTAATTTTGACATTATGCATTTTTTCCTTTTGCATATTGTAAAGCTTGTTGATGTTGTAGGTACTCGGACGGCACAAAAGTGCTCGGATTCTTCGGCAACGATACGGCGATCGTACGCCTGACAGACGGCCGGAAAGTTAAAGTGCCGGAAGTAATGATCGGGTGTAGCGAGACCATAATGGGAGAGTTCCACGACATTGATGGAGTAATGGGATTAGGCTTCGAATGGCATTCATTTGCACTGAAAGCAGCTCGGAAATTCGGGTACAAGTTTTCGTATTGCTTGGTCGATCATCTTAGCCCAAGCAACCTCGTCAACTTCCTCGTGTTCGGCGACGTAAATGATCCCATGACGCCGAAATTGCAATACACGGAGTTGATCCTGGGAATAGTGAATCCATATTACGCCGTAAACGTTTCTGGAATCTCCATTGACGGCAAAATGCTGAAGATCCCATCGCATGTATGGGATATCAGGAGCGGCGGCGGGGTTATTGTCGACTCCGGTTGCAGTTTAACTCAACTCGTGAGACCCGTGTTCGATCGAGTCGTCGCTGCTTTCAAGGCTCCGTTGAGCAAATTCAAGAAACTGTCGATCGACTCGGAGGGACCGGATATTTGTTTCGATGATACGGGGTACAAGGAGTCGTTGATGCCGAAGCTGGTTATCCATTTCGCTGACGGAGCTAAGTTAACGCCGCCGGTGAAGAGTTACGTGCTTGATGCTGCGGAGGGGGAGAAGTGCCTTGGGTTCACGGCGACACCGTGGCCGGGATCGACGGTCATCGGAAATATTTTGCAGCAAAATCATATGTGGGAATTCGATCTTTTAAATAGCAAGTTGGGATTTGCTCCTTCTAGCTGTACGTACGAATGATAGGGGAAAAAAGGGGGAAAACTAGAAGCCATTGGAGTCATGTTTTAAAAGGAAATCTTTAATTTAATTTAATTTTTTATTTTAGAGATAGAATGATAGAATGAAAATGATATTATCCAGGTTAATTGGGATTTGTTATGAAAAAAATATATTTAGAGATCCTGAAATTTAAGTAATTTGACTTATAAGTCCTATTTGAGCATGTAGCTCAAATAGATTTAATGTAATATAAAACCATACTTATAAGTCCTATTTGAGCATGTAGCTCAAATAGATTTAATGTAATATAAAACCATACTTATAAGTCCAATTTGAAAGAAATGAAAGTCTTTCAAATAAATACTATCTTATAATCACTCTAGACGCGTTTAGTACATAAACTATCAGTTTTAATCCATTTTAGTACCTAAACTTTCAGTTTTTCAAAACCATGCCTAACGTTTAATTTTTGTTTCATTTTAGTACCTAGCCGTTAAAAACTTAACATAATTGCTTTTTTATGGGTAAATTAAATCATTTATCACTCAAATATCTTCTCACTCCTATTTTGGTACTAAAGTTTAAAAATTTTCAATTTAACCACTTAACTTTCAAATTGCTCCTATTTTAATCACTCTAATTTATTTTATTAATAATTTTTGTGACATGATATTATTTTATTATTTTATTAATATATAATTAAAAATAAAAAATAAATTTGAAAGTTAGAGTGATTAAATTAGGAGTAATTTGAAAGTTAAGTAATTAAATTAAAAAATTTAAACTTTAGTGACTAAAATAGGAGTGAGAAGATAGTTGAGTGATGAATGATGCAATTTACCCATAAAAATAGTGCCACATGCAAATCACCGTTAAATTTTTAACGACGAGGTATTAAAACGAAACAAAAACTAAACATTAGATATGATTTTAAAAACATTGAAAGTTTTAAGTACTAAAACAGACCAAAATTGTTGTGTCATAACCATTTTTTTAAAAAAATAAAATATTATTTTAAAAATAGTTATGACTTTAATTTGGAAAAATTGGTGATTTTGGATTGATTTGAATTAAATAAGATAAGACTCGCCATCAACTTTTGGGTTAGGTAGGTCGAATACCAAAAAAAATCTTTTAAAAATAATTTTAAGAAAAATAGTATTTCAAGACAAAAATGGTCTGCGCTTACCAAAGATTTTATTTAATGGATTCATGAGTCTTACGTGTGGGGAAGGGTAAGCACACCCATAGCGCCAAAAATTGGTACTGTGTCGCTTACATATCGTCATAAATGGTGGAACTTATAAATCGAATATAAAGTTAATATATGATCCGTTTATTGAAACGTAATTAATTTACTCCGAGTTAATTATTTAAAGAAAATTCTTTAACTTGAAAATAAATCTCGAGATTAGCAATCCTCCATCTCGACTATTTCTTATCCGTAAAGAATATTCCGTCTTTGATAAAATACGAATCAAATATAGATTGAAAATTGACATTTGCGTAAACTGAAATAAATTAATAAAACGCTTGAATCATTCACATAAAAATATTTAATTAATAAAATAAAATCGATTTATTTCAAGTCTCTATTTCTTTCGAACGTCGTATCGGATTGTACCACTTAGATCAAGTGATACTTTCCACGCCCGTTCTACAAATACGAGTTCTTGAAATATTTAGATAATATTTAAATAAAAAATTTGCAATGGAAATAAATACAAATAAAAATATACGAAATAAAATATTTATAACAAATAGAGTTAAGTATACTTTTTTTTACATATGATACGAATACATAACATAAAAAATATGTACATACATGAGGTTGACATAAATGCAAATAAATATTACAATCCAAAATATAATGATTAAAAAGTAAGTATTTAATTACATGGACCAAAATGGGAAAAATAGAAACTTAAAGGACCAAACAGTACAAACAGGAATTTAAATGACTAAAATAATAAAACAGAAACTTAAAGGGCTAAAATAGCATAAATATAAACTTAAAAGGGATAAAACAGTAAAAATAGAAACTTAAAAGGATAAAACAGCAAAAAAAAAGAAACCTAAAGGACTAAAATAGCAAAAAAAACTTAAAGGGCTAAAACGGAAAAAACAAAAACTTAAAAGACTAAAATGGAAAAATCAGATAGTTTAAGGACTACATTAGTAAAAATAGCAAGTTAAAGGACCAAAACAACTAAAACATAAAGTTAAAGGGCTAAATCACAAAATAAAAATAAACCAGATCCACAATCAATATTTTAAACAAATACAGACAATAGAAATTGAAATAACACATAAATAATGTTGGGACTAAAATGAACTAAACGAGAACATAAAGGACCCAATTAGTAATAAACCCAAAACATATAGGCATTAAAAATGGTGACTAGAATGAACTCGGGGCAAAACAAATGCTTTAAAATATAAAATACACAATTTTACATATTCATAAATATTAAGGACTACAATCGAATATTATGCAATTAAAGGTCCAAAATATAAATATGAACAAATATTATAACTAACTTATAAGGACTGAAATAAAACGTAAAATAAAAGAAGAAACCAGAGTGGAATGATGAAACTTTCATTAAGTGGACAAAACACAAATATTACAAAGTTGGAACCCTCCCCGCGTGATTATCTCATGCGCTAAACGCATGGTTTTTCTGTTTACACGATGTCGTTTCGTTATATATATAAATATAACAATCGAAGGCCAAAAATCATTCAGCCTTTCATTTGCTTTGTTTCTCAACCGAGGGAAGAGAGAGATTTTAAAATTCTCTCAACTTCCCTTCATCGAAGAGGGGAAGCCGCCTCCCACCGGCGGTAGCCACGACGGGCCACGGCGGGCCACGACGGAGCCCACGACGGCTCACGGTGGTCGAAGGAGGCAAACGTTCTCCAAAAAATCCCCCTCGTCCTCCTCAACCCAAAACCGAACACCTCCTAACCTAAAACCAACCCTAAATCATTAGATCTAAACCATTAACTTTTGAAGAAAACGAAAATCCGACGTCCCATGGTCTTCTCGACACTCCTCCAACCACGGTAAGAGTTCTCTTCTTCTCTCTTTTTTTCTTTCGATGCTTAGTTTGAATGTGATCTAGGTTTATTTCTTCTCTTGTTTTTTTCTTTCCTCTGTATTTTCCTTTTTCTTTCTCTTTGAACCCGAATGGCTCTTGATATCCTTCTTCTCATTCTTTTTATGTTGATGCGTGTGATGGATTGGATGATGGATTTGATAGCCTCTTCCACAACCCGATTTCATCGGGATTTTACTGTCATTTTTTTTCTTCTGATTTCCACTATTGATAGACTGCAGATTGATTGGGTGGATAGTTGTCACTGTGGATGATAACATCGGGCTGGGGAGTCATCGTCGGCGGCGGCTCACGTGACGAGGGGAACAAGCAGTGGAGTCCACGCGCCGGCTTGAAAGCTAGACAGTTACGGCGACGGCTACTGCTGTTGATGATGAAACCCTAATGGGTTTAGGGTTCCAATATCATTGAGCTAGTTCGGGTCCTGCAACTGGATCGGGTTGCTAGGTTGGTTTCTGTTGTTGGGTTAGGGCTGGGTTGCTTGTTTTGGGCCTCGGTTGCTTGTTTTAGGCCTCGGTTGAGGGCTTGTGTTGCATGGGCTTTTTTGTAATATTGGGCTTCGGTTTGGCCTGGGTTGGGCCTTTGTAATGTAGCGGCCTGCAAAAAAATGTAAATAAAATAATAATAATAATAAAATAAAAAAGACCCGAAAAAAATGGGTGTCTACAGATAGTTTAGGTACTAAACACGTAATTTACCATAATATATAATGAGTTTTTATTAATTAAAAATGTGTATCTAAATTCAAACTTTATTTTTTCATTACACAAATCAAGTGATCTTATTGGTTAAAGAAATAATTGCTATATTTAGAGGTCTCGAGTTTGAACATGATATTTACATCAAAAGTGTTTGAGCCTCGTTATCAAAGAATTGAGTCTTTCAAATAAATATTATTTTATAATCACTCCAGTTTAATAAAAATATTTACTTTTTCGTCACCTAATGTATATTAGTCAATAAAATTCTTAACCATGCATTTACGCTATTAATCCCTTTCGCATATACATTTTCTTTTCAAGATTAATCATTTGGATTTTTTTTATTAATCTAGGGTAAGTACAAGGTAATATTTGTTCAAATATAACTCTTAACCTCTCGACATTGAATATTCACACCCCTGACATCTATGATGCTTGAACCCGAGTCCTCAAGAATTAACAACAATTCATTTACTTCGGAAGTCACTTGGTTCATGCAATAACTAAACATTCCAACGTGCAATAACCATAATTTCAACATATATATATATATATATATATTACTCTCACCAAATACATGTAGATTGGCAATTAACAATTCAAAGATACTTAGAACTTTCAAACTTTGCTTACAAAAACTTTCAAATCTCATTAACAATAACAAAAGTTCAAAGGACCTGAAATGTTACAATAATAACCAACCAACAACTTTTAAATCTCGTACACCTATTTTCACTAATTTAATGATATTAAATGTGTAAAAGTAATTATATATATAAATCCTTTGAATTATATGCTAAATGCGCAAAGCATTACTTAACCCTACATACTGAAATGCGTAAACACGGATTTACGCAGATAATTACAAACTCGTTATAATATATATAATATTAAATGAGCATTACATCCTGTATCATGTCAATTATGTTCAATAATTACTTTCAAATTTATCTAGACCATTACTAACGAATATGATCATTTATCCACATATCTACATGACAATTAATCAACGACATTCATGATTAGTTTGGTGTGAATATAAGATAATGTATTAAAATTAAATTGGAAGATTTTAAAATTTTAGGATTAAATGTGAAAGTATTAAAATTTTGGCTAAAAATGGGAGGTTTAGGAATTTGGATGCTAATCTCGAAGCATTAAGATTGTTTGGGGGCTTGCTTTTAATTTGCCTATTTTATTATATCGAGCCAGTCAAAAAAGGGTAAAGT